ACGCGTGATTGCTCGAGATTAAATTGATTCCACTAGGAGTCTCGGCGGCGACACGTCTTTGGAGGAGCCAAAATCACAAAATCTGAGATTTTAATTCCAATTTTATCTGAGAGAGCCAGATGCAATAATCAAAAGAGCTACGCCTGATTCTCGAGCCATACGTTCCCGACCCCTGCCCTAACCGATAGCGTTGTCATAATGTACTTGTCGGAAGCCAGCTAGTAATTCTTATTGCTGTGAACCAGATTCCTCAGAGATGACGATGAACTCCTGCATGAGTTCGAAACTATTTTCTGTGCAACATAACGATAGCACGTTTATCCATAACAGAGCGCAGTCGTTCCTCCAATTGCGGCTGGCTTTATGACTTTGTACGCAAGTAAGTCCTGAAAGTTCGGTAATAATAAAGTTAGTCTACCACCCTAGAGACCCCTAGACCCAGAATTCTGTCTTAAGGGCTGGTGGTATAAGTATAATTTAGTTTTTAAATTACTATTTTATTAGTTTAATTTCAGTTTTAGTATCGTTAAGTTTCTGGTTAAGCTAATTTTTTTCAGTTCAGCTTACCTTAGTTTAGTCTATGGTAGTTATTTGAGTATTTTTAACTCATTTCGGTGGTATCTAACTAAACTAAAGTAAAACTGCTAAAACCAAAAGTACCCACAAGACTAGGGGTATGTAAAGGTAATAGACCAACTGCAGTAACTGCAGACCAACTGCAGTAACTTTTTTTACTATTCATGCTGAGGTTAAAACGGGGTGTAACTTAGTACCCGTTATGTGGCACAGGCCTTACATTGCTTCATCAATTGCTACAGTACAGCTTACACCCCTTTTCGCGATATGCCTCAGACAATGTGCGGTTTAGGTCTACATATACGTCTCTTTGCTCCTTAGCTGTCCACCTCCTGCTTCCTATTCCTGATTGCAGCAATTGATTCTCGGAGTGACTGCTGTCACACACGGCCATCCCTGTGCACTCTACGGGGCCCTCCTGCAGGCCCATGCCATTCGCCGCGTTTTCGAAATTGCCATGACCGCAGACACAGCCCAGATAGATGCTTCTAGTTTAATCGACCACCTTCAGACCGTCCTGGAGACTGCAGACATCGTGGAGTACAGTGCTGGAAAGGCCAATGCTGCCACACGCATAGCTGAGGCCCTACGACTGGTCCTTTCTAAATTGAATACAATTCGAGGCTTCCTCGGTCAGCAGAATCCGCCGTCTGTCGAAGAGGTTGTCCAACAACTTGGTGCGTTCTGCTCGACGACAACTTTTTAGCTCTATCTGTTGTGAGGAAGCAATACTTTTCATTTTCGTATTCTCTTGCTGCTATTGGAAGTACTTGTCACTACACATTTTCGTCTTCGGGCGTGAGGCTCCATCCAAATTAGGCGTACACACACGGTGTACTCGCACTTATACATCTGACAGTTTTAATGAAGGTTATGATGGTCTGATGATACACTTTTAGCTCCTGTAATTTACAGTTGTCTTTTCTCCATAATAGGACTATGCTTATCAAGCCAGTATTCGTGCAATTTCCACTGTTTTTTATTGACTGAATAAAACTGTTTCACGTTGTAGGAAGTTTAAAAAGTTTACATCATTGATGTCTCATAGCAAGGTTATTCTGCCGATACTTACTGTTTGTTTGGCTGTTTTTCAGGACATGGTGAGCCCGCAATGGAGGCGATTCCCACTGCTCTTTATGTATTTCTGCGCTCACTGAAACCGTCTCCGGAGATCGACTTCGAGGTATGTGTGCTTTTTTCCCACTGTTCCAATGTTCACTAGGTAGAACCTATCACACGCCTATAGAATATACATGTTTGAGGATTTCTGATAAGTTTTGGGCCCAATTTAGCCAGTCCACCATCCATGGGGTGAAAATAGCTAGGAAGTTTGGATTCGAGTCCCATTTGTCTCTGGGTTTAGTGTTTGACCAGTTTAGTCACAGATTCACGCTCCGTCGGTTGCAGTCAGGAATAGTAGAAGTTTTCCGAGACCGACGTTCCCCTGTCTGTCGGTACTACCTTTCGATCATTAATCTTCGATGTGCTGCCTCCTGTAAGGCCCTAGCCTTGAGATGCACACAGTCCAACGAAACGCCTTGATAGTTTCAAGCTTTAATGATCTGCAGTCTATGGTGTCAAGAATGAATAAGGCCGCTAAATCTGACCGTTTGTTCATAAACGTTGGGAAGACTAAAACGTTTTTAAACGACATCTTTGTCCAGAAGAATTTACCTTTGGAGATTACTGGCCGTCGACTTGAAGGAGGAGAGAGTTGCAACTATCTCGGAACGACGTTGCTACGGAATGGACAAAGTAAG